TCAACTCAACAAAAAGTAAACATCATTACCCACAGATCACAAAAAAAAATAAATTTCCCATCATCAATGCATTATCTTAAAAAAAAATCTCCGTTTAAAGTGCAATGAACAATTTTGTTCTTATTGTTTCCGTACCACTTACTTAACAATTCCTCTTCCATCCATTTCTCGTCTCTGCCCGCGTTTGAAACTTTTAGGGCAGCTTCGTTGATAACTCCTATTGCGGCTGACTCGCGGCTCGGTTTGATTTATAAAGAAGCGCGCCGGCCAAGTAAAAGTAACTTCTATCTTTACTCGTTTGTACTTCTGAAATTTTTCCCAGACGCATTTATTATCCCTGTAAAAGCAACGCAATAAAGATCCCCGCAAAATAAAAGGACATCGCGGCAGAGAGAAGCGCGGGACGTATACGTCACCGGCGTCGACAGACACCGAGGAGCCATCTTTTTCCACGGGGAGCCGGCAATTTTCGGAATATCCTTTTCCATACGTGAAAATAATCCGGGAATAAATCTTACGACACATCGCGAAACTTTTCAAATATCACCTGTTGGCTGCGCGAGTGTTGATGCCAGATAAAGTTCAGGTTAGGGAAGTATTTGCCGGCTCAATCTGCCACTGGTACCGGAGTCACGGGATTACTTCACGGTTGGGGAAATCTTGTAGTATAACGGTTACTTTCGTTTTCGGAAGAGGCGACGCGAACTCGGGAGAACCGTCTGCTGGGGTTATGAATCTTTTCGTCACTTTTCGGAGGAGGATTTTTTAATGCATAAAGGGAAACGTGAAATTCATTCAGTGAGATCTTACTGTCTCGAATGTAGTGCCAATGGGTTGCTGGGATCGCGCTGATTGAAATGAGCCCAAACACGATGGGGATCGGAGGAGTTTGACGAATTTGATGAATTTTTGGAATTAAAGGCGCGTTTTCATAAAAGTGGTAAAAGTAGTCCGATTTGTGTCGTGTTTGGGCTCTTTTTAATCGGAGGAATCTTGATAGTCCATTGGTAGTGCAATTGAGAAGGTAAAATTAACCCTTTGCTCTGGGCAGTTTTTCAGTAGAAATATTTTAACATTCGATGATGAGATAAAGACGATATTTTGTGAAATTAATACTAAGAGAAACCAAATGTACATCGAAGAACAAAACTATTTTATTTCAATACTTCTCAAATTGATGCATCATACGTAGTATAATATTAAATACCAAATTTTATAGTTCCACTGTGTGAAATCAGATGGTGAGAGTCATCTCTCGAGTGCAAAGGGTTAACTTAAGTGCAGCAATTTAAATTTTACCTTCTCAAATATAGTATTATTGAATTCTTGAAATTTTGCCGATTAAAACAAGTCCACACACGACGGGCATCGGACTAGTTTTGTCAATTTCAAGTAATTAACGAAATTAAAGGCTCGTTTCTATGAAATCGAAAAACTAAACCGATTCATATCGTGCTTGGACTAATTCTAACAGCAACGATCTCAGGAATTCACTGGCACTACGTTTGAGAAGATAACGTTAAGGTTACTGTAAACAAATCGAACTACTTCCACCGCCCTAACGTAATTAACGATATTAAAGCCCCGTTTCCATAAAATCGTAAAACTAGTCCGATTTATGTCATGTTTGGGCTCGTTTTAATCAGAAGAATCTCGACATTCCATTGGTGCTATGATTGAGAAGGTAAGGTTAAAATGATTGCAACTGAAATTTTCTCAATTGCATATTTACATTTGACGCACGTCGTTTTGAAGTCCGCTCCTCGACCCTCGATGCTCGACCGACTGCGTCGTCCCGTTTCTGCCTATTGTATTCATTTCCTGTCTCTGTCTACTGGGATCAGGTTACACTGAGCTCGAGTCAGTGAGCATTGTGGGAGTAGTAAGTCTGGTGCTGTAGAATTTAAACAAACACCATTGTATCTCGTTTCTGCCCATTGTATTCATTTTCTGTCCCTGTCTAGAATCAAGTTACACCGACCTTGAGCCAGCGAGTACTGGGAGAATAGTATGATTGACTCTGTAAAATTTAACCGAGCAGATTCCTATGAAATTTAAGTGAGCCGTACAAATCATTGAAACTAAAGAGCCAAAATTATACACAATTTAAGTTCTCAAACTAAACAATAAATTCCACAATAAATTCGAAAGAAATCATTGGTTAATTTTCATTTGGCAAAACGTTCCTATTTGGAAAACTAAGTTGCAGACAAATGATTTAATTACTCACACAGCAAGAGATGTAGTTTCTGTTGTTGTTATTATTCAAGCAATTAATTTATATTTTAGCTTCATTTGCTGAAGGTTCTGTAAATTTCAAAGAATCTTCGATGGCAAAGGGTTAAATGAGTGTCACTGCAATAAGTATTCGGAGTTGTTGAAAGCCTGTGATGCTATCATCTAAAATATAGGATCCTGGAGGCAGGCTCCATAGGGACAAAGCCCCCAGCCAGTCAGCCGATAGAGGGGAACATTAATGGTCCATGGCGTGTCTAGACTGTAGCGTTCACGCGTCGCCAGAGGAAAAGTGGGGATTGCGTCATCTGTTGTGTCGTCAGTGCCCTGGGGTCCTGACATCTTAACACTGATGGGAACTTAGGATCACGGTCAAGGGTTCGGAGCCTTCACCTGCTTACCAGGTGGAAAGGTGGGGACGTTAACGAGCCACGACACGTTTAGGGTATTGTGCTGAAGTGACGCGAACGGGAAGAGAGGATTTTTAGGTTTGAATTTCGACTCTTACTGCTGTGTCAATAGGAATACTTTGCCTCTTAAATTGTAAAGAGTAATTGATGTACCTCGTAATAATTGACCTCATAATTTTAATAATTGTCAGATAGGTACACAATTGAAAGAATAATTTGCATACAGATGAACTATAAAAAATAATTGATATACCTCACAATAATTGATCTCATAATTTTAATAATTGTCAAATAGGTACCCAATTAAAAGAACAACTTGTACAATAATAAATTACAAAAAATAATTTCCCTACCTCACAATAATTGACCTCACAATTTCAATTACTGTCAAACAGTTACACAATAAAAATGTTAACGTTACACCATCCAGTACTACTCTCAAATCAAACAAAACGAGTCAAAAAATCTCTACAAATCCCCACTTCCCCTAATTTCTAATATTATCATTATTTCCATTTTCAGGAGGAGGATTACGGCAGCTACAAATGTATCGCGAAAAATTCACGTGGAGAGACGGACGGCACCATCCGGCTGTACAGTAAGTGTCGTTTGTTTACATGTGCTTTAAACCATCCCGCAGAAACGTTTGTCGAGCTAATGACGGTTCGTCACGGTGACTCGCTGTTCGTGTACGCCAGTGGTTCGCAAACGAGGTGGATGCATACCTTGTCCTGATGAATTTTTAAAAAACGCCCTCCCTCGCCACCCTGCCTTCTAAATTATTCACGTGTTTAATACTATTTTCGCCTTCCCTTTTCAACCACCTTTCCGACTTTCCGTATAATTGGAGGATGTTTGCTCGTCGCGGACATTTTCGTTCTTCCAGTGATGTATGCAAATCCGAATATCACGTTAGGACGTGCTTCATTTAGTACCATTATTTCTGTTTGAATCGTGCCAGATATCTCTTAAAACTTTGAAGGAATTGTTTTTGCAATTTTTTGTTTGTCGCTGTATTTTATTCTTGGAATTTATGTTAGAATTTTCTCAATATTTGAAGGAATTGTTTATGTATTTTTTGTTTGTTGCTGTTATTCTTGGACTTTATGTTAGAATTTTCTCAAAATTTTGAATTTGTATTTTTTGTTTGTTGCTGTATTTTATTCTTGGACCTTATGTTAGAATTTTCTCAAAATTTTGAATTTGTATTTTTTGTTTGTTGCTGTATTTTATTCTTGGACCTTATGTTAGAATTTTCTCAAAATTTTGAAGAAGTTGCTTTTATTTTTTGTTTGCTACTGTATTTTATTCTTGGACATTATTTTAGAATTTTCTCAAAATTTTGAAGGAGTTG